TTTAATAATTATTTAATAATTATCAGGTTTATTATCTATACTCTTAATTATCTTTTAAACTTTTCTTTCATTGAGATTATTATGATCAATTATGATAATATATCTTAAGGTATCTGACTTTGAATTATCCAAAATAATAGTACACTTCTTATTAAGGATGATAATCTTTCAGTTTACTTTTTTGCAAAATTCTTCAGGTCTTTCTATCTCTATAGTTTCATGTTTGTGAATATTAATATTTTTTCTATTTGATATAGCTAGTAAAGCTTTTATTATAAATAATACTTATACATATTTTTGCCAACAAATGTTATTTTGATAAAGGTTATTTACTTGTTAGTTTATTTAGTTTCTTTTCCCTTTGAAGTTTTTTTTTTTTTGAGAATTTCTTCTTCTCTTTTTTTTAAATAAATCTGGGTTAGGTTGAGAAGAAAGAACTTATCATTTAGAGTTGCTAAAGTAGATAGAAGAGACCCTTCCAATCTATTTAAAAAAGAGTTTTTTAGTTTGGGATAACTATTCAGTTAAATCAAAATATTTGAACATAGCATTATAGAAAAACCAATCTTTATTGTGATATTAATCATGTTATTGCTATATTAATTTGAGATAAAACTTTTATCTCTTGTTGTTTTTGAAAAAATTTTTTATAAAAAATTAATTTATTAAAAAGTGATCAATAAGAAAGAATTAATTTATAATTAAAGTTATTAAGGAAAAATTGATTTTTATTAAATTATTAATGTTGATTTATAAGTCTATAGCACAATAATAATATTCCCAAGTTATCAAATACTATCTTTAAGTTCAATATCTCTATGAAACAATACAAGAAAATTATATTTGATTAATGATAATGATCCTATTATCTTTAATTAAGATTTTGTCTAACTATAGAGAATATAAAAATCATAAAGATACTTCAATTAGTTTTAATATTATAAGTTATCTTGTTACAAAAAGATAGATTTCTATAATGTTCTGACAAATAGGTAAAGATTTGCATACTATAATAAAGGAACTAATAGAGTCTAAGCATGTTAATTAAAAGAAAGTCTCTATCAAATTTGATATCTATCTAAGACTCTACATGATCACTCTATAGGCAGACTATAATAAGTCATGTAAAAAAGGTGATCCAATAAAACAAGACAGTATCTAAGACTCTATATAGATATTTTGTAGATATACTATAATAGGTATTATAAAAGGAATATCCAATAGAACAAGATATAAAAGGAGTCCTATAATATAGTCCCAAGGCCTGTAGAAATGAAAGTCATGAAAGGATAACACAGATGTAGATAGTGGGATAGTAGAGTCTTTTCTGGCAATAAATCACGAGAGCAGAATCATCTGCAAATGGATTCATCAATATCTTTGATCACAAATACTTAGAAATATGATTCAATACTACATATAGAATTGTTCTGTATATAAATGATGGTTGCATACTAGTAGTGGTCGATAACTTCAATGTAATTGAGCTTCGTAATCCTTAATAAAAAGAATAAAATTAAATTATGATGCTAAATTTTTTTTTGATTGTACTATATATACAAATTATCTATTATTAAATTTGTATGTACAGTACACAACAATTATAGCTTTAACTGAAGGATTTTTTATAGCACATCGAATACCTTTCTATGCTTGACCCCGGCAGAAAAATGTTCACTTAGCATTTTGAATAGTTTTCAACTAGTACTAAATAATTTTTCCCATCGCCTAATTTTAAATTAATTTCGAGTTCGCCGGAATTAGTTACTCCTAACCGGCGTTCCGGACTTTATCCATTTTAACCGATTTTTTTTGCCATTCAATTATATAAGTGATGCACATCCTCTTTAAACGCACACTCCAAGGGACCTAAATTTAAAGGATATAATTTTTTATATAATTTGAATTAATAAATATATTTTAATTTACACTTGTTCATAAAAGAAAAATTCAATACGTATTTTTTTTATTTTGATTTTCCAAAACCAATTACAAAAGACGTCGATCATTTTATATGTGGCTTGGCTTGGCAATATACTGCTGATGTCATAGTGTTTGATGGTTTTTTTGTTAAAAGGGTAAATCACCATTTTTTTTTTAGTAAAAGAAGGATGACTGAAGAAGAACAACAACAGGTTCCCAAAGTTGAGGATGTTCTGACTGTTGTTAATGAAGAGGAAAAAGGCTCGACCGTGGAATCAAAGGAAATTCTTGAAATGCCTGAAAAACCCCTCGAGGAACCTATCAAAATGGACGTGAATAATTCTGAAACGCAACCATGCGAATCTGAACAGAAACCTCCTGTTATAACGCCAACTCCGGACGTTATGCCTGATGTGCAACCCAGTATCCCTTCGCTTGAAGAATCTCAACCCGAACAATCGTCACAGGAGCATATTAATCCAGTGCTTGTGGAGTCGCCTCATCCGCACGATAACTCCAAGATGCTTGAGGAATCTCAACAACATATGAATGTTCAGGAACAGCCGGAACAGGATAAATCTAATAATTTAAGTAATGAAGTCATAAAAGCTCCCGAATCCATTGAAATTTCACAACCTCCACCCTCAAACCAGCCAGATTCCGAACAAATTCCCGAAACTGGAAAAAATGAAGACAATTCAGTGGATAATTCAATGATAACATCGGATGTTCCCTCACAATCACCACCCACACAGAATCCTGGTACTCAGGTAGAATTTAATACCGCTATGGCAAAGGTAAAAGAGATTGCCGCTAAATTAGGAGTTAAGCCGACAATTGACTCTACAAGCCCCCAAAACCATAATAACAACGGTGTGAATCAATATATCACAAATTTTCTCTTTTCTATAAAAAAAATTTTTTTTTTTTTTTGTTTGTTTGATTCCTTATTTTCCTTTTTTTTCACTAGCAACTCAACAGGGTGTCAAACGCTCTCATGATGACAGTTATAGTTCTCATGGTTCTAGAGACAGTCGCGACGACTACCGTGATGATTATAGAAGAGACTCTTATAACCGACGAGATCGAGGAAGCCGATACGAAGATTATGGAAGAGAATCAAAAAGAGCCGCATATGATGGTGATTATTATTATCTTCATTATATAAAAAATATCCCGTATAATTAATTTATGATATGAATTGCAGATAATGGTGGTCGACATCGTTATGGTCTGGGAAGCGAAGAGAGAAGATCACACCATGGTTCACACTATGGTCCAGGTGGTGATTCATCTCGTTCAACCACCCATGAAGAATTTAAAGTCCCTAATGCCGTTGTAGGTTTGGTAATTGGTCGTGGTGGAGAAAATTTGAAAAGGATTGAAAAGCAAACTGGAGCGAGAATTCAATTTTCACAAGGTAATCCAGACGAAAGCTTTTGAGTTATTAATTCTATTCTCTCCGTGCTCATTTAGTTTTATTTGCATTAGATCAACCTCCCGATGTTGTGGAAAGACGTGTCACCATTACCGGGACACCTGAAGATGTCAAGAGCGCTAAGGGAATGGTTCAACAATTAGTAGAAGATGCAATCAACGGAAATTCCACTAGTCGTCGAGATTCACAAGGATTTAGTAGGTCGATCACGATTCATATTCCAAGTAGCAAAGTTGGTGTTGTAATCGGACGTGGTGGGGAGACCATTCGAGATTTACAGGATAGGAGTGGTGCTCGTATAAATGTTACCCCAGACAGCGCAGCCAGTCCCCAATCTAACGACCGACCTGTAACTTTGATTGGGGATGACGCCGCCGTACAAAGGGCAAAGGCGCTGATCGATGAGATTGTGAATACAGGCGAATCATCACTGTCCGATAGGGTTTGTAAAATTTCAATATATTTTTTAAGAACATTTGTGTTAAATGTTAATTAATGATAAATTTATAGCATCCAAAAGATTACCGATCCAATAGTTACAGCGGTGCGAGTACATATAGTAATGACAGTCACGGTAGTAATTATGGCAGTGGCGGTCATTATGGCCCGCCTTCCGGTCCCTATGGTGGTCCTCCGGGAGGTAAGTCTAATCAGGATGGCATCACCATTCAGGTTCCAAATGATTCTGTAGGCTTGATCATTGGAAAAGGTAGGCTTTAATCAGTCCGTGAAAATCTTTCTTTATTTATATATTAATATATTACAATTTCATAAGGCGGAGAAACAGTAAGAGCTCTCCAACAACAGTCAGGTGCCAGAATACAAATTGAGCCCGTACACGGTGTGCCGCCAGCTGAACGTAATGTGCAGATTACCGGTAAGAATAAGCATAACTCATTGTCTACATGCATGTGACAACTTTACCGCTTCCAAACGTTGTAAATTCAATGTTAGTTGTTCGACGCGCTTTACGTTCATGATAATGTCGCTTGTTGTAGGTTCTTCTGAAAATATTGCTATCGCGAAACAATTGATTCTTGAAAAAGCTGCATCTGGAAATGTACTATCGTTTGCCATCGCTTGTTGAGTGAATGCTATAATTTTTTGGATATTCTTGCTATTTAAAAGCAATAGGGTTTTTGTCGTGCACACTTTGTTGATGACGTTGCTGTATCTTTTTTTTTTTTTGTTGCTTGTTTCCGAATGTACATTTCCATTATTTACACAGCGCGAAAGATCATCACGTCATGGTGGAGATCAAGGAAGAGGGTGAATACTTCATGTTTCATATACTTCATGTTGAGCGCACGAAATTAAGACTCTTTGTAAAATAGAGATTACAGTTCAGGGAATTACCAGCAAAGCTCTTACCAACACGGTAGCTATCAGCAAGGCAGCTATCAGCAGAGCGGTTATCAACAGAGTGGTTATCAGCAGACCGGTTATCAACAAAGTAGCAATTACCAACAGGGTGGTCCCGTCCCGGGAAATACTTCGGGGCAAAATTATCAACAAAACCCCGGATACCTGACGAGCTCGTACGCCACGCCGCAACAACAGCCTGTCTATGGTCAGAGCACTAACAGTGATTATGGTCAGACCAACAACACCAGCGGATATCCTACCTCCGGTTCATACGGGGTTCCGAATCAACAACAACCGCAACAACAAACCAGCTACAGTCAATATGGACAGTATCCAAACCAAACGCAGGCGACAACATACAATCAGTATCCAACTCAAACGCAGTACGGTGCGTACGGTCAACCTCCTCAGTATAATCAAATATCCACCGGGCAACCTGTGGGACAATCCGCTGGACAACCTGTCATGCAGCAATTGAGTCAACCACCAAATCAACAGCAAGGTACGCAGATTTGACCTGCTTGTTATTGCCTTTTTGAAACTTAATCATCTCATTGACTGTACATTATATATTTTTTTAAGTTGGCTACTATCAAACACAACCAGCTGCCGTCGATCAAAGCAAACTTGGACAACCAACCGAAGTTAAATCAGACTCGCAAACCGTATCATCGGTTCCAAATTATGGTTACCAGCAATACGGTTATAGCTATGGGACCACTCCTGTTGCTGCTACTGCTCAATTTTCAACCGCTGTTGGTGGACAAACGCAGGTAACTACCGCAACCACTGCCCAAGTCACTGGTGCATATCCTGTGTATAATACAGCCTCAACGGGCACCGCCGTCAATCCGCCTGCGACATCCTCGGCACCTGGAACTGGCGATCAAATTACCACGCAACAGTCTTACTCCGGTTATTATGGCCAACAATACACACAAGATCAATATAATCAACAACAACAAAATTTTTATCAACAGTATTATCAACAACAACAACAGCAACAGCAGCAGCAACCTCAAACATATAATTATCAGCCAACGCCTGCTAGCAATCATCCTACCGAAGCTCCTAAGCAGTAGTCGCAGCCGTTAAGAAATGAAGTTTTTATGGTTTTATTTGTTGTTTGTTTGTTTCATTTGGTATTGCGTTGTCTTCTCGTTGATGCCGTAAAATAATTTTGATACTTCCACGGTATGCAAACGTACTTTTATTTTTCCTGCTATCCGTTGTCACTGATTCATCGTATCGTTTGCAGCAACATTTAAGATTTTGACATTAAATGAAAGCTAGGGTATTTTATTCTTTTATTTTATCATCTGAAAATTTGGAATTTCTTTATCCTTTTTTTTTTCTTTTCTTTTTTCTTTTTTTTTTACGTAATTACATCTATTTTCTTTCTTTTGTTGTTGTTTTTTTTTTTTTTTTAAAAAAAAAAAAATATATATATATATATATATATACAACCAATTTTGGCGAGTCTTTTTTATTAATCATTGGTGATTACTATTCAAAACCTTGCTTTATGTTAATCGATTCATCACATGCTAGCCCATGCTACCAGCTTCGGGGAAATAAACACTTTTGAACGTCGCATTACATTTTTTGCAAACTGTTTTTTTCTTTGAATAACCACAAAATCTCGGCTAACCCATAAAAAAGGCCCAGAATAGAGTGCCACCGGTACTGAGTTGTTTATTTTCAATAATCATGAGAAATTCGTTCAAAGACTTTTATGTGGTCACAAGTCATTCCTGACTTGTGTTGCCATTTATAACTGGGAAAAGAAAACGTTGTTAGCGGTACTTACTAGTGAGATCTCAACTCATGCAAGCCACCTTTTGGGCATGGTCCAAGTTTTTGTGTTATGCGCTGCTGTTCAATTACAGCCGGATCTGGGAATATGAATTAGTGGTATGAGTGCTTGGAGTGGATAATGGTGGAAATGGTTGTGACTAAAAAAAAATATATACCTTGGTAAGTTCTATCCTGTGGTCCTTCGCCAGGATACGAAGACATTTTTTTGACGAGATTTTCTTTACAAGTATCAAAAAACTAATAAATTACGTAATTCAAATATGACGGTTATTTATTATGTAACACGGGCGTGGTCAGCCGACATTCTAATGCAATTAACCTTCTTCCCGTAAATAGTAAAGAAACAACACACACTTAGTTTGTCATTTCAACATACAGCATGAGCTTATTTTAAAATTAGCTGGTAGTACGAATTTTATTTTCGTTCAAACAGATCCGCGCACGGAAAATCCTTATACTGTACGTACGGTGTGTCGTTCTAATCAGCGAGACATTAGACATAAATACAAATCTTTGCGAATTGAGGTTATAATTACAGTCGATGAATTTTAAAAATGTTCTGTTATGGGTTTTTTTTTTCGCAAAAGTACATATTCATCCGAGTGGCATGACACATAATCATGGTATTTGCATTTGACATTTACATCAAGATTCTCGGCATCAAAATAATTCTGTATAAAAAAAAAAATCATATTCACATAAACAATTAATTTCATGACATACCGTACGGTGCGACACACGAGCTTTTAATAATCGAATCTCAAGATTGATCTGATGATTTCTTCCAAGATCCCTTATTCCTATTAAAAAAAGGATTTTACGCAGATCAAAGGTGTAACGCGTTTTTTTTTGCTCAGGAATGCATTCCCCTCCTAGTCGTTTAGCATGACACATGACATTTTCGAAAACGCCTTGACACCCAAACAACAAATGAGAAATATACATATGCTGTATATATGTGATGACTAAAAAAGCTGATCTAAGAAACTATCAACAGTAAAAATAGGTTGATTGAATTATCATGAAGTCTATGACGAAACATTTTCATAAAATTCGCAACATTGCTAAAATGTGCCTCACACGACCTCTTCTTTTAATTTCGCAACCAAAATTTCCCTTTATCTCAGTGATAATGTGTGAATTAATAAATAATTTGGTACAATTAATGCCAATACCCAACGTCGATGGCACTGATATTTTTGTTGGTGAGATAATCGAAGGTGCGGACAAGGCTAAAATTAGGAAAAGGAATTTCACCCGAAAACAATCCAAAAAAAGGAGAAAACCGGATGGTGCAAATAAACGCCGCGGTTTAGCTCGTAGAATCAAAAGGCCAACTTCTGACTGTGCTGGCAGCGCTATTGACCCCAAGAAAAGCAACAATTCTAATATCCGAGTTATCAGAGGTGAAGATGGACAACTCAAAATCGTTGAAGGGGGAGATAGTGATGTTGACAATTATCCGATTCCAATTAGAATGGAGAGCTCCGCGGGAAAAGGTGCCGGTAAACCGAGAAAGAGGAATTATGCGAGAGCTTCGAACAACAAATTACGCAAAAACATAAAATCTACAAATGTTGGTTCTGCTTATAATGGTGGCAAAGAAAGAACGAGGCAAAAAAAAAGTGAGGTGTTACCAGAAAAGGTATCAACCAAAAATCCTGACGACAGTATTCAGATTGTTGATGATGATAGTGATGATGGACGAAGAAAAAGACGAAAATATTGTGAGGATACAACTGTTGATCAGACTTTGTTGAGAGACACGCATGAGAACCCGATTGCGTATACTGAGCAATCACAGGGTTCAGAAATATTCGATCCTTCAAGCGCGACTCAAGATAATACAATCACAATTTCAAGTGATAATACTGGAACTGTTGTCATAGATGTTACCGGCAGGAAGTTACGTCCAATGGTCGATTGCATAGTCCCGAAGAGTGACATGAGTTCCAACGAATTGAGGAAAAAGTGGGCTAAAACGCAAAAAAATCGAATAAAAAATAATCAAAGCGTCCTCGCTATAGGAAGAAAACAAGACTGTAGGGAAATACTTCAGTCGGAGTATGCAAGGCAATTTTGGAAGACTAGAGAACAAACATTAAACGGCAATGGTCCAAATTGGCAGGAAAGTCTCCGTAAAGCGAAAAGTAGAAACACCACGTCTCATAATTATTCCATCGTACCACAAAGGTGATTATATAATATTTACGTGAAGTTTTAATTCAAAACTAACGACAAAATACCCTTTATTTTTGCAGGATTGTACAAAATGATCGTGAATTACAATCTCACTCGCGTTCTAGTTCTTCGAGAGATTTCCCGATTTCAACGAGGACTAGGAGTAAAGCAGTTCCAAATTCGATTGAAATCGATGGAGAACGTTTTTTGCAGAAAGCTGTTAAATCCTCTCCGTTCCCTCCAGGTAGAGGGAAGAACGGTAATTTCGAGTTACCCGGAGAAATTGACAGCTCACAGGATGCCATGATGAGTGATGATAGGGCTGAGAAAACCTTGATACATTCATCATCAGGTAGCGAAAATAATAAAGATCCGCACGAATGGCAAATAATTGAAGAAACTGTTGTGATGACGAGCACTAACTGGGAAAAAGATATTCATACAGAAAGCGAGGAAGAAACTGTTGAGTTAGTAAGCGATGGATGGGATGATCATGGAATTCAAGTTGAACAGAGTCCTTCGAATCAATGTTTAGTGTCTCAGGGAGAATTTCATGCTTCTAGCCAAGACTCTATTCAGCCATTGACATGCAACGAAATTTTCCAAACTGAACTAGATGTCTCGAAAGAAAATTTTGAACAGAATATTGCAGAATTAGAAGCCGCCTGTCAAGAGTTGGTGCAACCCGATTTCAAAGCTGGGCCGCAATACTCGACTTCATCGATGGATCTAGATGAAACCCTGGACAGTTTAAGTAGAAATATGTCCGATATTATACCTTGTTCACCTCTTTCAAGTTTTTTGGAAAGACTAGCAGAATGTTCCGCAATGCCAAATTCTCTCGACAGCTACATGTCGTTTTCGATTGCCGGATCAAACCCTTCAACAGAAGTTGATATTTCATTCGAAGATTGTCTTGCATATTCGCAACAGTCGACAGAATTTGATTTTTCTCAAGCAATAACTTCAATAAATGAAACTGATGTTTCGTTTCATGATTCTTGTAACGGATTGTCTTCCTTGACAACCACCCCAATATGGGAAACGGAAAATCCTTTATATAGTTGGGAACGTAACTTAGATTTGACCTCAATTTACCCATTATATTCAACTAATGATACTGCGGGAATTCCCACCGATAATGACACTAATTGTCAGAGGTTTGAGGAACCTTTGTAAATTTATGAGATGAAAGAATGAATGGAAAGACCGAAAGCTACATTCTTCTATTGTAATTTTAATTATCTATTTTTTGAAACGTAGTTCACATGATAATCACTTGATCAGTTGATCGCGTAAATAATTAAAATTGTTTTCGTTTTCATCATTGAATAAAATTAATCTATCATGTGTTCCAAACAAACTTTTGGAGAAGAAAAAGGTGCGATCCGTTCTGAGGTCTCCAAACACTTCGGCGATGAAAACTTTAACATTCCAACTATCAGAAAAGAGAGAGTTACACACATGAACCCTTTAAGTAAGCCGAGGTAAAGTCAACTATTTCCAAATAGGAATGCGTACATAGAATTAGCCTTTGACCGTACGCTTTTCACTAGGTTGACTTATGGACCTACGGGCATGGATATTACTTTGCAGGACTTACCAATTAAAAACCAATTGCTACCGTTGAAACGCGAGGAGGAACCTTGCGAAGATGATAAAAGTCTGGAAGATATTAGAGTAAAACCACAAGTAAAGAGAAAAAGACGTAGTAAGTGGTCCAACTTGGAGCTAGAAACTCTGGAAAAGGGGATGGAAGAGTATGGAACTAGTTGGGTAAAAATTCTAGAAGTGCACGGGAAACCCCATGGCCACTTGCGAGACCGCACGGCCGTTCAATTGAAGGATAAGGCGAGAAACGAAAAAATGCGAAGAGCTCGGGAGAGAATACCAACTGGCATATTTGAAATCGCTACTGATTATGCTTAGAGATGCTTGGCTGGTGTGTTAAATTCCCTCCGATTTTTTTTCATCGGGTGCACGAACGAAATCGATGATGGAAGGAAATCCATACCAATAGTAGAATGTCATACTAATCTTTCATCCTAGTTAGACATCTTCGTAATTACCGTGTACATACTCAATCAAAAATTCATTCCAGAAAATTAAATATACATTAAGTTAATATTCCAAGGGTTGAATTGGCATTGTCACGCGTGACAATGAATGCACGTCAGCTTTTCATTAGA